CCCCAATTATCTTATCTTTGAAGATTTTAGACTTCTTAGAAAGTATGTTTGTCATCCGCCCTACACGTTCTACGAGATTCTATTAAACTTTATTAGTAAAAGCCTGATATAAAGCAAAACAAATAAAAAAACCAACATACCCCATGAACTAAAAATCTTTTACATAATAGAACCACCTCTCCCACGTTTGCATCTTTCGTTGGTAAGATTTCTGAGGCCCAATCCCAAAAACCGTACAGATCTCCGTTGATTTGAAAAAGAAGATAGAACCGAATTCTCATTCCGATTATTTGGAAAAATGGTATAAATATCGAAGCCATTCCTTTTTGTAGGCTCTCTGGCAGAGGATTTCTTCCACTCTGCTCGATAATTTGAATCTCAAGCTCGATGTGTTGCGCTCTGGAGACTTTAATCACGTCAACGAAGTTTGTCTTTGCTTTATCATGATTATCCTTGTGGGTTGGCCCACTATTCTCCCCGATACCAGCCTCTTGAGATGAGCTCTACACACAAAATCTTATGTTAGAATTAACTTTTTAGTTTTTAATAACTAGTTGAGACATACCCAATATAAGAAATCGCATGCCTTGCCAACACGTTGAGTGCCAGAACGGTCTGTTTTGTCATCACGGTCTGCATCGGAATGGTTTTCACCACTATAAAGGAGGGGAAAAAATGATGCTTAATATAACAGAAAAAAACGGTCAAAAGCAAATTTCTTACTATGTGAATATAGTTTGGGGAGTTTTTGAACAAGGTCCAACTAGAAACATATCAACGGTTCGCTCAGATTGACATTTCCCAGGAAAACAACAGATCCATGTATAACTATTGTAATACCATGTTTAGATTTATAATATATGTAAATGACCAAATCATGCATATGGAAACTCACGTGTCTTCAATGCATTTTCCCACATATATTGTAGCATCATCATCAACATCTACGTTTGCAAGATGATCTTGAATTATTTGCCTATCCGCAACATCCTATTGCAAAGTGGTTTGTTATAGAATTTTTATGGACCTCTGGACACTAAATCAGAATGATATATAAATAATTTTGAGATTCACCTGCATTTTATCAGCAGATTTTTGTAGAAGATCGAGTATACCAGCAACTCCTCGCGCACCACACTCCTTTGCAAGAAGTTGAAGGCTAACAATTTCTGATAGTAATAATGCCTCTAAGAAAGATTCTGCTGATTTACTGATATTTTTCTTCTCTTCTTGAATAGCACTTCTTGTCATACTCATCAAACGATTGACCTCATCAGTCGAGAGGAAATCCTTAGCACGAGGGAGGTTTGGACTCGGAGATATGTTATCCTCACGGAAATCTAGAACACCCCACCAGAGTGGGCTACAATAAAGAAAAAGTGAGAACATAGCACAATGAATAGATAGGCAAATAGTAGAAATAATTTACTCTGTGTGGGCAGATTCATTATTTTTTTGTACAGACTTGACGGCATTAATGGCAGTAGTGTATTCGTCGAATGAGACATCAAACGTAGAATTTGGTTTGGCCTGTGACATATTAAAACAAATGATTTAACAAAGACATAATATCAGTATGAAACAGTGAGACTAAGACATAGAATTAGTCCTAGCCTGACCTTCTTATTGGAGTCTGGTGTGTGTAAACCAGAATTTAATTCATGATCTTGAGAATCTTCCATGTGGTCCTGGATGTCGAGAAGAAAAGTAAAATTTACTGCATAATAATAAAGGAATGTAAATATAAACTAATACTTACATGATTTCGCTTCCCAGCCTGTTCCTTTACAAATGACTTTAAGTTATCAGATAAAAATGTTCTTGCATCTTTTGAGTCCCTAATGGAATCATCTATTACATTGCTAATGTATCCTAACTATTTTACAAACAAGTAAGTTCACTATGTATATAAACAACCACAAGACAAGATCTACAAACCGATTCTTTCTCGATCTTGTCTTCATAGCTTTTTTTCTCAATCTCATTCCAGAAATTGACAACATTTGGAGAAGACTCCTCATCCTTTTTGTTAAGAAGAAAACAGACATTAGTATAAGATTAATTGAAACTACCATATAACCCAAAAAATAATTGATGGTTGACCACAACATGGGACGTAGGCTGACAACCAGTTGGGACATATGCATCTGGTTGCGTTATGGCAGTTACATATACAGTCAAAGCTTTGACTATAGTAAGTAGTCTATTCAAGAACGC